AAAGATTGAAGAATTGAAAAATTGAAAAATTGGAAACTTGAAAAATTAAAAAATTGAAAAACTGAAAGATTGAAAAATTGAAAAATTGAAAAATTGAAAAATTGAAAAATTGAAAAATTGAAAAATTGAAAAATTGAAAAATTGAAAAATTAAAAATGTGGAAATTCAATAATTTGGAAAAACACTGAATATAAAAACATTTTTCCCCAAACATCTGTCCTCAAACATTTTTAAAACTTTCTTCGCATAAATTCAACAAATAAGTATCAACTTAAAATTTGTATAATGACCATATTAATAACATGCTGTTCCAATTCTGTCAGTTTTACAAAATTTTAACGTATAATCCCTTAAAAGCCGTTTAAACAGGAAAGCTGCAATTTTATGTCAATTAATTTTTCGAGATAATTAACAAGCGTTCCAGCTCTCCAAATTACGGAGTCAGCCGTGACCTAAATCTGCGAAACGAAGTACCTTTCCGAAATAAAACTGCGTTTGAATTTTAAACCGCAGGGAAATCAAATTACTGAAAAATTATTTATCGAGCTACTTCACAATTTTAATACATATTTATGATTCAATTAAATGGAGATCACGATAGATTTAATCAAGGTTTTCACTTATGAAGTATTAATAGATTTCAGGTTACGATAGTATCTATCGGTTTTACAATCATTTGATTAAATCGGATTCGCGATGTTCACTGACCGCGATTACGAATTTAATTCGATTAAATAATTACAGACCTACAAACAAGAGTGGATTCACGATACCGTGAATGTTTGATTAATTACACGACGTGCAATCAAACTGAGGAATCGTATATCATTTTATATTAAAACCAATTTCTATTAAAAATACTCAAAATTACAATAAAATTCAAATATTCGTGAGAATAGTATTTGTTTAAAAAATTTATTCTGTACTTTGTTTAAAAATATTACATTACTCTCTACTTATTTTTATTTTATAATTTGCAAATTTTTATGTTGCTAAATTTTTATATTCGCAAGTTTGCAAATTTTCAGATGTTCAAAATGTGCAATTTTTTATTTTTGAATTTTAAAAATTTCTTAATGTGCAATTTCTTTAATTTCAAATTTTCTGAGCCACCATTTTAAAATTTGCAGAATTCCAAATTTTCCAAAGTTCCAAATTCTTAAACTTTTTAGTACACAAACGTCCAAATCCCAAAATGATAAATTTATAAAAATTAAATTTTTCTAAAAATCAGAAATTTATAACAATTATATTTCTGCTAAACCCACAAATACATAAAAATTAAATTTTTCCAAAAACCATAAATTTATAAAAAATAAATTTTGTCCCTAAAACCACAAGTTTACAATAATTAAATTTTTCTCCAAACCACGAGTTTACAATAATTAAATTTTTCTCCAAACCACGAGTTTACAATAATTAAATTTTTCCCAAAATCACAAAATCATAAAAATTAAATTTCTCTGAAATTCCAGTATCGCTAAATTCTGGTCAGTAAATAGGAAGGCGTAATTTCGAAACATCATCAGCCAAAAACCAACAAGCACAGTAGCTACTTTCCCCACGTCACCAATTTCCCTAGGGAGAGCAAGTTTGCTCTCGATTTACGCAGTCGATTCGACGTTTACTCGAGTTATTTGGGCACTCGATTTAAATCAACGACACCACTTTCCGCGGTATCGAATTCAAAGCGAAAAGGGACTACACATTCCTCATCCTGGTTCGTTTTCAACCTCGATTCCCACGATATCCAGTCCGGCCATTTAGAGAGAGAGTTATGCGCTTGGCTGCAACAGATTTCCCTCTCCCTTTCTCCAATTACCGTTTCAAATAGTCTTCTCTTGCCCGAAATGAACGAACACCCTCAACTTTGCTGTGATACTTACTGAACGAAAAAGACATCCTTTTTGTATATTTTGTACAACATCCTGTCAATTATAATTCTTTGATGGGGGTCATTATACACCCTCATAAATAAGTAATACTTTGTCACTGTTTTTCAAGTTAAGGAACTCAACTTAATTCAATACATATTCTTCATATGTACAAATGTTAAATATAGTGGAAAGTAATAAAAAAGATAAGAAAACTTTCAATCTTAAAACATGTGTGTATTCTAACTTTGAAATGTGCGTATATTATAATTATCAAATGTGCTTATTTAATATTTGAATGTTGTTGCAAAGTAAATTCGTGAACTAACAATTGAACATTAAAATTACTCGACCATTAATATGGCTAAGAAATATTTTAGAAATAGTCCTGTTTTTTTAGAAGAATTTTAAGAAATCCAACTCGATTCACATCTATTATCCTAAACCGTTTAAATGCCTATGGCGTGTTACCGCCCCGAAACTACCGGACTTTGCTCTAAACCCAATAATAAACGCGATCGGCTCAATTACCAGTCGAACGGACTATGAAATTATCACGGCAGCCTTTCGAAACGCCCACGAAACAGCATTGTTCCCTTCACGCCATCACCTTCCTTTTGATTTATCGGGCTAATATTGAAAAGTGTGCATGCCTCGTGCTGAATGATGCTGTAAGAATCCGTGAAAAATTAGGAAATACCGCAAGTATGTTATTGTACAAAAGTCAAGAGCAGCGGTTCTCACGTTATCCGCTTTAGGGTGCTTTAGGGTGCTTTAGGGCGCTTTGGGGTGCTCAAGAATACTTAGGAACTCTCTGAGGTATTATATGACGCATTGTGACGCACTAGAACACTATAGCTCAAGAATACTTAGGAACTCTCTGAGGTATTATATGACGCACTGTGACGCACTAGAGCACTGTAGCTTAAGAATACTTAGGGACTCTGAGGTATTATATGACGCACTGTGACGCACTGGAGCACTATAGCTCAAGAATACTTAGGAACTCTCTGAGGCATTATATGACACACAGTGACGCACTAGAACACTATAGCTCAAGAATACTTAGGAACTCTCTAAGGTATTATATGACGCACTGTGACACACTAGAGTACTATAGCTCACCCACGGTATTCTAGGGCACTTTAGGGAACTTTAAGACACTCTATGGCACTCAGGGACACTGTAGGATACTCTAGAGTAGTTTAGGACGCTTAGAGCACTCTATGACGCATTGGGACCCTCTACACAGTATGTCGGAAAAGTAACGGAACTTTTTAAATTTAAGGAAAACTAGCACCATCTATTAAAACATGTTATCTGAAAACATACCTCCCCTACAAAACACAACAATCATTATTGGAATCGAGCAACGAATTGTGAACTTATAGCGTTTAATGCGACAGAACCTTTCGTCACCGTGTCACAAAATCACGGGCAAGCGCAACAAATTGCTCGCGTTCAATATTGCGAGGATCTTATCAAAATAGCCAGACGAAACTGTACATTCCTGGAATCAAGTGTAACTAGTGATGGGACTTGGTGCTTCAAGTATGAACCTCGAACAAAGCGCCAAAGTGCTACGTGGAAATCTCCAGGCTCTCCAAAATCAAAAAATTGCGATTCCAGAAGTTCCGAGAGAAGACAATGTTAATTTTCTTTTACGATTCTAAAGGAATTATACTTCGGGAATTCGTTCCACAGGGACAAAATGTTAATGGTGAATATTATCTGGGTGTTATGGAACATTTGTGGAAGAGGATCGCTCGTGTGAGGCCTGAATATCGAACCCTGGAAGTTGATTTCTGTTGCATGATAACCATGTCACAGAACTGTCGGTTCGTGAATTTTTAGCGGAAAAACAAGTCTGTATTCTCCAACTTCCAAATTCACCTGACTTATCTCCACATGATTACTTCCTTTTCCCAAAACTGAAATTAGCTATAAAAGTTTTATAACTTAGTCTATCTAGTCTATCAAAAACTAGTCTAGTCTAGTCTATCAAAATCTCAATTCAAAGGATCCAAAATGGCTGCCTTTAGCGCGGTGCAAGCAAACAACTGCAGATCGATCGCAGGAGCTTACCGCAATTAATGTTCAATATCTTTAAGTACACATACAAATGTATTTCTTAACCCGCCGCAATTTAAACTCTGAAATATACGGTATTCCGTAAATAACCACGGTTTTATCGAAGCTGCAAACAAAGAGGAAGAGTCTCTCGAATGTAAACGACGCGGGGTTAAACGCGTTTCCCGCGTGCATAAATCCATCTTAGGCGATTGCCAATTACTTACGTCAGTCGAATGTTTACCAGCGGTTTATCGTCGACTGTATTCACGGATCCTAGGGATTGACGGCACGTGCAAAGATATCGCCTCTTAGCTTGTACATTCAGCTCGATCTAACACGGTGACAGATTGTATAACAAGCCAGTTCCCTCTTTTACATTATCGAAAACGCAGCCTCGAGTCCCTTCAGGCTTAATTGCTGATTACACGTAAATCGTACTTCGAGGATGTAATTCGTCGGGAACGTACCGTAAAAACATTTACTAACTGTTAGCTAAACATCGGTTTAATACCTCTTTAGATCTCTGTCCAACGTATGCGCATACGTTGAATATATTAACGGAACATCTTTCCCTGTAAACGTAGGAAAAATTTTATGCTTTATTGCGGGTTGGGAAAATCGTTTGCAAGCTTATCGAAATTTCGAGGATGAAAGTTGGAAATGGAGATTTTTTGGGAGCAAAAATTCGGGAAATATCTGAGCAGAACTATTTTAGAGTTTCACGAGTTTAAAATTAATTCTGATATTGCAAATTTGGGAAATTACAATTTTTAAGTGAAAAATAACTGCATACTTATATATTTACTATACATGTATATCACTAATTATTAAATTAATAATTTCATTAATAAATTGAAATACATATATGTTAACCTGTATTAACATATACTAACATAAATATATGTCAATCTATAGTAATATATATTATTCATAAACTAACTATAGCATAGTATGCATCTCCCATAAAGACCATAAATGAAACTTAACCTCCGCAAACAAAACTAGAATGCAAGAGGGTTGAATATATCAGAAGAAATATTTTAAATTATTTACCAGTTTTCGAAGCAACGTCCCGAAAACATAAAACCACAAAGAGGCAGCAAAACCAGCTAATCGTCCTCGCCTGAAAAAAAGAAAAAGTTCGATTAATATTGAACAGTAAATTCTACTTCGATTATACTCGATTAACGAGCCTGCATTTACGAGATTACAAGAGTGCAGTGATTAGATTAAGGTAGGTTAAGTGGTCTCATTTAAAATTACATTATATGAGAGACACTTAATTACACGTTGAATCGAGGATAATAAAGTGGAAGGAACATTGACATTGAGTTTGTCTACGTTGGCGCGAAGAAGCTAGATTAAAAATGTATGTAATTAGTCGCGGCTCGCTACACTCATACGCCAAGTCCACAGTGTAATCATCGCATTTACTAGATGGAGTTAATGAACGTTGTTTCAGTATGAAAGTGCGAGTGCTTTGAACTTGTAACGAGTTCGATGGATTGGAATGTGAAGTGAAAGCTGTTGGAAATTTTTTTGGGAGGTTGTTTCTGGTTTGTTGATTTTTGGAGATTTGAAGTTTAACAATTTGGAAAATGAGGAACTTCAGAATTTACTTTGGAAGAATTTTAATTTAGTAGATAATAATTTACTGGTTTAAAAGTTTACACATTGTCAAATTGACAAGTGGAGAAATTGACAAGTTGACAAATTGACAAGTTGACAGATTGACAAGTTGAGAAATTGACAAGTTGACAGATTAACAAGTTGACAGATTGACAAGTTGACAGATTGACAAGTTGACAGATTGACAAGTTGACAGATTGACAAGTTGACAGATTGACAAGTTGACAGATTGACAAGTTGACAGATTGACAAGTTGACAGATTGACAAGTTGACAGATTGACAAGTTGACAGATTGACAAGTTGACAGATTGACAAGTTGACAGATTGACAAGTTGACAGATTGACAAGTTGACAGATTGACAAGTTGACAGATTGACAAGTTGACAGATTGACAAGTTGACAGATTGACAAGTTGACAGATTGACAAGTTGACAGATTGACAAGTTGACAGATTGAGAAGTTGACAGATTGACAAGTTGAGAAATTGACAAGTTTATCAAGTTGACAGATTGACAAGTTTACAGATTGACAAGTTGACAGATTGACAAGTTTACAGATTGACAAGTTGACAGATTGACAAGTTTACAGATTGACAAGTTGACAGATTGACAAGTTTACAGATTGACAAGTTGACAGATTGACAAGTTGACAGATTGACAAGTTGACAGATTGACAAGTTGACAAATTGACGAATTGACAAATTGACAAATTGACAAGTTGACAAGTTGACAAGTTGACAAGTTGACAAGTTCAGAATTTGACAAGCTTGGAATTCGTCAAGTGGAGAAATCGACAAGTGGAGAAATTGGCAAATTTAGAATTTGACAAATGGAGAAATCGACAAGTTGACAAGTTGACAAGTTCAGAATTTGACAAGCTTGGAATTCGTCAAGTGGAGAAATCGACAAGTGGAGAAATTGACAAGTTTAGAATTTGACAAATGGAGAAATCGACAAGTAGAGGAATTGACAAGTTGAAAATCTGACAAGTTGAGAAATTGACAAGTTCAGAATTTGACAAGTGGAAAAATCGACAAGTTGAGAAATTGACAAGTTGATCGTTTGAGAAGTTCAGAATTTGACAAGTAGAGAAATCGACAAGTGGAGAAATTGACAAGTTTAGAATTTGACAAGTTGAGAAATTGACAAGTTCAGAATTTGACAAGTGGAGAAATCGACAAGTTGAGAAATTGACAAGTTGAGAATTTAACAAGTTTAGATATTGACAAGTTCAGAATTTGACAAGTTGAGAAATTGACAAGTAGACAAGTTGACAATTTGACAAATTGATAAATTGACAAGTTGACAAATGCACAAATTTGCAACCTCAAATATTTAACAACATCATAAATAAATAATAAAGAACACACAACAACATTATAAATAAATACTAAATAATGTTTAATAACACCATAAATAAATATAAAATAATTATTTCGAAAGAAACACACGTTCTCCAAATATGTTCTCTTTAAAGACATAAGAATACTTAACGAGGTATAACACGGATTGCATACTCTCCCCTTTTCTCGGTTCCTCACGTTTCTAGGATCAACAGGGAACTAGGGACTGGACTTATGTGGGGTCTATGCTAATCCAGCATCGTTGGACGGTATGTAATAAGACCGTGTGGCGACGCGGATAAAAGTGGCTGGACGAAGGGGAACAATGTTATCGGTCTTGTGTGATCTTCGTCCGCTTATATTCGGTCTCGAGGCGTTTCTCACCTGGACGCACGCGGTTCTCATCACCATGTACATTGTTAGGTGCTATGTACTTTTGTACTTGCAGTTTAATTTCAAACTTTTTCAAGTTTTTAATTTTTCAAGTTTTCAAGTTTTCACGTTTTCAAGTTTTCAAGTTTTCGAGTTTTCGAGTTTTCAAGTTTTCGAGTTTTCAAGTTTTCAAGTTTTCAAGTTTTCAAGTTTTCAAGTTTACAAGTTTTCAATTTTTCCACTTTTCAATTTTTCAATTTTTCAATTTTTCAATTTTTCAATTTTTCAATTTTTTAACTTTCCACTTTTCAAATTTCCCAACTTCCCAATTCTATACTTTACCAATTCCATAATTTTCCGATTCTCTAATTTCCTTATTTCTTCACTTTCCAATTCCGTAATTACCCGATTCCATAATTTCCCAATCCCCCAACTTTCAATTCCCTAATTTCCCAATTTCCTTATTTCCCAATTCCCTTATTCCCCAATTCCCTTATTCCTCAATTCCCTTATTTCTCAGTTCCCTTATTTCCCAATTCCCTTATTTCCCAATTCCCTTATTTCCCAATTCCTTAATTCCCCAATTCCTTAACTTCTCAATTCCCTAATTCCCCAATTTTCTAATTCCCTAATTCTCTAGTTCCCAATATTCTCAAAATTCCCAAAATTCCTAAAATTCTCGAAATGCCCAAAATTCCAAAGTCCCAAATACTCAAATTCCCACTATCTGAATGTCCCGAAATTCCCAAAATTCCCATAATTCCAAACTTCCAAAGTCCCAAATTCCAAAATCCAGAAACATCAATCTCCCAAAATCCCGACTTCCTCAATTCTCCAAAACCCCAAAATTCTAAGGTCCTAAAGCCACAAAGTTCCAAAAATTCCAAAATGCCCAAAATATCAATCTCCCAATATCCCAACTTCCTAAATTCCCAAAAATCCCAAAATTCCAAGCTTCCAAAGTCTCAAAGTCCCTAAACACCCGTAAATACCCAACAGTACAGCAGAATGTTCCCGCTGACAATATCTGTTCCGCCGATAATAGCCACCATTTTGCGACCTGTCCGACATGCTTTGCGATCGAGCGGTTCGCGCCACGATTTAAATACTGTCACGGCGTTATCAAGTTGTTACGTCGCGGTAATCGACGCCGGCGAATTAATACGCTTGCTCGGCAGATTCGATCGGGTAATAGCGCAACGCTTTCAAACGACCGACCCGAGGATACTTCGTTTATCGGCTGGTTTATTGCCGCTTTGATACACCACCGGAAATTGCTAATTTACGTTTCTATGAATTGAAAATTTATTGGTGTCGTGAAAACGTGTCGAAATTTATCTTTAAATGAGAGAAGCTTAATTTTTTACAATTTTAATTACTTGTTTTATATATAATATTTAATTGTTTGGTCGTTTATTTTTGTCATTTACTATTTATTTGTAATTTATAGACATTTATTAATTTATTTATTAATTTCAGTATTTATTACTAAATATATTTTCTTTTTACCTGTTTATTTATTATCTATTTATTTATATATATATTTATATATTTTTCTATTAATTTATTTCTCTAGTTTATTTATTTGTTTATTATTTATTTATTTATCTATTTTATTATTCATCTACGTATTTATATATTTATTTTACTATTTGTCTATTAATTTATTTCTCTAGTTTATTTATTTGTCTACTATTTATTTATTTATCTATTTTATTATTCATTTACTTATGTATATATTTATTTTACTATTTATCTATTAATTTATTTCTCTAGTTTATTTATTCGTCTATTATTTATTTATCTGTTTTATTATTCATCTACTTATGTATACATATATTTATTTGACTATTTGTCTATTAATTTATTTGTCTATTATTTATTTATTTATCTATTTTAGTATTCATCTACTTATGTATATATTTATTTTACCATTTATCTATTAACTTATTTGTCGAGTTTATTTGTTCGTCTATTATTTATTTATTTTTCTATTTTATTATTCATCTACGTATGTATATATTTATTCTACTATTTATCTATTAATTTATTTCTCTAGTTTATTTACTTGTCTATTGTTTATTTATTTATCTATTCTATTATTCATCTACTTATGTATATATTTATTCTACTATTTATCTATTAATTTATTTCTCTAGTTTATTTGTTCGTCTATTATTTATTTATTTATCTATTTTATTATTTATATACTAATTTATTTTCCCACTTACTTATCCATTTTATTATGATTATTATTACATGCATATCAGACGATATTTATTGATTTTATGAAGCATAACGATAAACGATAATAAACATGCAGATTTATTAATCAATTAAGGCTTAATTAGTTATTAACCTGTTAACGGTTAATACGTCTTGCAAATTATACACGAAACAAAATTAGAATCTATTACAGTTCAATTGCATGCTATCCATGTTACTGAGCTCGTTCTCTAACAGTATACATTATCTAATCATTATGCAAAAATTATATATCCTTAATTTAATTGATCATTTCAAATGGATAATGTTTTAATGAATTATAATTATACTTTTCCTACAACCTCTTATATAGTTGCAGATATTAGAAAACGTGAAGAAATGTATGAATGAATAATTTTACTACGTAATTGAGATTAATGAATATATTTGAATGCTAAAAGTTTGTAATTATGAAGAGAAAATGATGAAAGAAGGAGGAAATGAATATTTCACAGGGAAATGAAAATTAGAGGAAATTTGTAGGAGAAATTCGACGATTTTGAGATTTGAAGTA